TGACTTTTATTTAGGAAGTGAATGCCAAGTTTGAATGTTGGGTGGCACACAGACTGTCCTGAATGAAGTTTTTCATGCTTTTCCTCTGTGCCTCCATCAAAATGACATAACAGCACTTGTATTCTGGTCATGACTCATCCTTCTACATCCTTCCCAATTCACTATTCACCAACCTCTATTCATTCAGAGCCCTATGGTCCAAGTTCCTGATTGATGACAACTGGCAGAAGGGAACCATGGCTTGATGTTGACTATGCACTGTGGGGGCCTGTATTTCCCTTCATAAAATTTTGACCTCAGATGTTTACATTAATGAGATTAACGACTCCATGAGTTATAAAGTGCTGACAGAACCTCACCGCAGACCTTACCTGCTGTGAGGAAGGAAGATGTGTTTATGAGCTTCGTGCCAGTCGGCTGCTGTAACGCTGATATCATATCTTGAATAACATCAAGTTCTCCTTCCAACAGAACACACTGAGCCTCTCTGAGTGCGCTCACACAATGAGCCTGTGCACCGCACGTGCTTCGCTCAACCTTCTCCATATAACTGAGCTGCAGCTGAACATCATTAAGCACCTGCCAAGACAAAAAACTGGTAACAACAGAAATGTACATAAAAACACTGTGACTGAAAATGTACCACAGTAGATGCCAGAGTAACTGGTCTTGAAGATGGGTTTGAAAAAGAACCACGAACAGGTCATGCTTCTGAACACCACTGAAATATGGCCCCTCAAAAAGGAATAACAAAAACAAAATCTGAGAAATGGATATGAAATTTCTGATAAACACTGAGGCAAAAAGAAAAAAGAATAGAATTAGAAATAAAATTCTAAGGGAAGAAGTTGGAATTTAAAACTTTTCAATAGAGTTACAAGAGTGAGCATCATAATGGTTTGGCCACATAAAAAGAATGGACAAAACATAACAAAACAAAACATGACAAGGATATTAAGTGGAAAATTAAAATTAACATTTAAAGGAAAGAGCTCTATGGAATGACCCAGAACAAGATGTTTCAGTCAGGTAATGTAACACATCAAGAAAGGGGAAAGTGTGGGCATAAAATTTAAAATGCAACAATTATGGCAGGAAACGTTTTGTCCATTAAAGAGAAAGAAGAGGCTGGAATACTGCCTGCTCTCTACAGGACAGTGCTGGTTGCTTGGGGCTAGTTCCTTCATTCTGACTCTACATATACTGAACTGTTCTGTAAACAACTACTGCATGTAATTATTTAATTAGTTTGTCAGCAGATCAATTAGCATAACAGTCCTATAAATGGCTGGCACATTAGAAACTTAAAAATCAATGGAGGAAAATAAGTTTACGGTCATCTGGGATGTGACACTGTGTAGTCTGGTAGATAGATACCAATGCATCAGAGAATCTGCTATCTCCATTTTCCTCTGCAATGTTAGCAACTGTCTACAAACTACATTACATCACATCCCAGAATATTCAGTGCCACGAGAACCTCAAATCTCACATAAAAATTGGAAAACATCCATCCAAAAACAGTAAAAATAATTTCCATTATATGGCAGATTTCCTGGAATTTTCAGGTCTCTGGCCACCTACCTAAGGTCAAAAATCCATTTAAAAATTTGGAATAGATATAAGGTGGATTTTTGCTACTTCTGGTGATACAATGGCAACAAAAATGATCATAATATGACCCATGAATGATTGATTTACTGTGTGCTGCAGCAGATCCTAATTTATCTGGATTCACAGAATAATAGTTTCATAAATTGCAGTCAAGAAAATGAATGCAGCATATGTTCACTTTAAAAGGGCTAAAAGTTGGTTTATTAAATCCAGAAATCTCGTTTCTAAGATAAATAGAATTGGAAGTTCAACTTCATATAAAAATATAGATTTTAAGAGAAAAAACGATGCTACCCTTTATACTATTACATGACTTAATGAGTTTTCTCTGTGCACAGTACAGTAAATACTGTATTTAATGGTCAATATACATATTTATTCTTATTTTTGGACTTGATTTTTCACGTTAAGCTCCAAAAAAAGTTAAATTAAATTGTTCTATACCCATTCATAACAACTGTAGAGAGACCTGCATGTGGTGAGCTCCAGGAGAATGCAAAATGTGAGCCGAAAGTGACACAAGGAGCACGTGTATGCCACCAAACAGAATGTCATATTCTGACATGCCATACACATCTGTGGGCTGCGGAGCTTGGTGTGCCACTGCGACCAACGTGCGACACAAAACTTCCAGAAGGCCACAGTCCAACATGGGGCGGAATGACTCTGGCACCTGAGACACAGTGACATTTCAATAGCACAGCAAAACCCCAGGGTTCTGATGATGGTGTACTCTCACAGGTCCTGTGACTAAGATTAATTGTATCTAATGGACCCAAGTGAGTGGGTGTCTCCCCAGTCCATTAACCTGAGGATGGAAAAAAGATCCAGTTTGTGGAACTTTGTGTTCTTTTAGAATATTGGATACAGGATGAAGTTCATAAGCCTAGTAATACCAAATGCAATACTTCGTAAACTTTATAGACTGCATCCTGTTGTGTATATAATATTTAATTATATTAAACACATAGGACATATACCAACACCTATTGCCTTTACTGAAGATATTCCCATATTACTTGTCATGTCGATGGTCGTAATATAAGCAATTAAAGCAATACATCATCACTGGAACCCTCCAGAACTGATATGCACCGCTGGTATGGGCCTGGTATAACCCCTCCTTTAGGAAACTCCAATGCGTGAACATTCAGTTAGCTAAGTGTCTGAACCATATGATTTTCCTCGTGACACATAAATCTCAGGACATTAACCCAAGTTTCAGTAATTGAAATAAGCTCCCTCTAATGGACCCAACTGAGTCAGTGCTTACTTATGCTAGGACTTAATTCTCTTACACAGAAAAGCAGAAAGCTATTCAGATCTTACAGTCTCCTGCATTTGCGTTCAGCATTGGCCAACAGTCACATAATTGCTAGACACTTTGCCAGTTGTTTTATGTTTTGTGAGAGAATGACCTTACAATTCTTACAGCCACCAAATCTACTAGTACATATTATAACTGCTGGAAGCTTACAATTGTATGCATTGATATTTAGAGATAAAATAAAGATGTGACAACAGTGCTACATTTTTCCAGCCATGTTGCTGTTTGCTACATCACGTACAGGCACGAACAAGGATGATGAGTTCCGTCTTCTGGGATAAAATGCTGCATTGTCTGTTGACTTCCAATAGGCTACATGGCATTATATCCCAGAGGACAGAACTCTTCATAATTACCACTATGAGAATCTCAAATCCTACACGGGGTCAGAAATCTTTAGATTGCAACTGGACTGCATGTTACATCATGATTAAGTAAAACTAGTGTAAGATTTGAGGGTTTCATAATAGCACAGTCTTGTATTCTGCTCTTATAAAAACATGTATTCTGGTAGGTGGGTACCGACATTTTGCACAAACTTTCTTCACCGTCAGGGCAGAGATGGGGAAAAAATATATATATTTTTTTAAATTTTTGTGACCACCTACAGAACTACATGAAGAAATATTAAGCTAGGATAGCTCAGTCGGCACAGCAACTGGCTATGGGCTGGAAGACTAAGAGGTCAGAGTTCAAGTCCCAGTAAGGTCAAGAATTTTCTCTTCTCCACAGTGCTAGACCAGCTGTGAGGCCCACCCAGCTTCCTGTCCCATGGGTACTGGGGCCTCATTCCCCAGGAGTAAAAAGGCCAGGGTGTGAAGCTGACCACTCACCTCCAAATAGTGCTGAGATCAAGAAAACACGGATCTGTACTTCCACTCCCCCCATACATCTTCATGGTGTGGTGTTTAATTAGTTACGCACAGGGACAACTTTACATTACTTACCATGATAACATACAACATTACACAAAGGAACTTCAGATACACATAATTTAGGAATGCTAAGAATTACAGGGCCGGTCAGGGTAGCCGAGTGGTCTAAGGCATGTACTGTCTTCGCTCGCTTGGAAACAGGGATCGTGGGTTCAAATCCCACTCAGGACATGGATGTTTAGTTTGTGTGTGTGCGTTTTTCTGTTTGTGTACAGGTAGAGACCTTGCGACAAGCTGATCACCCGCCCAAGGAGTCCTACCGAATGTGTAAGATCAAAAAAACAGAAGTGAACAGAGAAGTTCATGGAGGTAGTTCTAGGACCACTGGGGCTGTAGTGCCAGGGTGGGGGGGAAATTACAGGGTTTCTGGACTTTGTCCATCATCTGGTTTCAGTAGTTTCAACCTTACTAGTATCATATGCTGTGTCTTCTACTTCTGATGTCATGCAATAGACACTTGCATTTCCTCACCTTAGCGAACATATCGCGCAAGAAGAGAATCATGTTATGAGCAAGAACAACATCATGGACAGCTCTGGGAAGCAGAGCCAACAATGGAGGAAAACTGCTGAGTTGCAGGAACGAGAGCTCGGACAGTGACGTCACCTCTATCTGCTCCTCAAGGGCTACAGTGCAGCGTGTCACAAGTGATACACATGCTTCAACCAGCTCCAGACATGCAGGAAATAAGCTCAGTTGATTTGCCAGCTGATGGAAACCCTTCAGTTTAAGGAATTTGTTTATTTCCTCATCAGTCGAACGGTGCAAGTATGCAGACAACACCTGTTATTATAGAACACAAAACAGAACATCATATTGATTTCAGATTTGGAATTCCTGAGGTAATGAATATGATGATTATGGTTATCTGGGAAGTGAAACTGTGAAGTATGGTAGGTAGAAACTTGTAATGCTCCGTACAATTTGGTATATAGGTACCACGCGAAACCAAGGTACCTATCGACCACATTACAGTGTCACATCCCAGGCCATGATTTTCATAAGGTCAAAGTCTGTACAGTTTTAACACGAATTAGCAAAGTGGTAATGGGCCCCATCATACTTTAAATAAATAAACTAAGGAAGAAAAGAATATATCACAGAAAAACAATTATTTTGGATGAACAATATTACATATGAAGAAAGCCATCTTCTGGGATGTGGAGCCATGTAGAAATTGTGTTAACCAACATTTCGGAGGAGTCTGTTGCACCTGTTCTGCTGGTTCGATCGCGGATTTCTTCTTGTCTTCTACCCTGAAGATGGAGGCGATATGTTCCTCCGAAATGTCGGTGAACACAATTTCTACATGGCACCACATCCCAGAAGATGGCTTTCTTCATAGTCACCACCGTGAAAACCTCAAATCTTACATAAATTTACATATGTTAGAACAGAGTATTAACCACTATAAGAGTCTAAAGAAATTATCCCTCTGAAATAATTTTTCCTACAGCAGTTCCAGGAATAGAAAGAGAGCTGTAACTGAATATTTAATGATTTACTATTTTGAATATTATAGTAGCAGCCACAGTGCCAAGTGGACTCAGTCTCACCCCACTAAGAATAATAACTGTGAACACTACACACACAAAGGCTGTCTTGCTTTCATTTTATAATTCTGTTGTGAAAGTAAGAGTTTTCTGACAGTAAGATACTGGATATTCTCAAATTTGAATTGTGAAATATAACACATAGGCTGAAGAATTTAAGAAGGAAAACTACAATTAACGTAAACTGGAAACCATATTTAGATTGTCTAATAGGACACACATACTAAACAATACAGACTGACATTTCATATTATTAGAAAATTGGGTTCATTAAGCCATCTTCAGGGGTGTCATATTTTTCCTACCTTAACACTACTGAATACGGGAATATAGAATATTAAGCATGGGGCCAACTCTACCTTTAAATAAAGTAAAAATAGTGCAAGTAAAGCTATCCCTGTAACAGACCGTGAAGGACCATAGGGTTGTGAGATGTTGAGGGTCCCACATTATCTAGACAATCGGCTCAAAGATGGTGGTAAGGTTGTCAGTCTTACGCACCGGCCACGCTTCACTCCCCAGGAAAATTATTTATTTAATTCCTGGTACTCATTTCTGTTAGAGGCTGAGTGAACCTCAGGGCCATAGTGCGGCTGGAAGGATTAGGTCAATTGACTCTACCTTTAAATATAATTCGGGATTTGAAATGCAGTAGTACAAATCTAAACTTTAAGATTAATGTGAATCACCGTTAAAATAAACTGCAGGACAGAAAACTATCAAAATGAATAGTTTTCCATAATTTCAAAGAATGGAGAGACGGGTGTAGCAAGAAGTAGAAACAGAGACAAGTTTTAAACTTCTGGCACACTGGAACAAGCTTCTAGCACCCAATCATGAATCTGAGTTCTAAACTTTGATATTTTCTGTTTCCTAGACTCAAAATAGCTCACCTTAACGATGGCCAGCCGAACGCGGGAATCTGAATGGTTTGCCATGACCAGGAGATATTCTGCTTTCACAACATGATTCAGCACCTGATGGGCCATGTTGTCCGGCAAAATAAGAAGCGTATCACGGAGTAACAATAACAGTCCTTCCACCACAAGACCTTTCTCCCCTTCACCCACAGCAAAGTGTGGTTCCGAACCCTTCATCATTTCTTCTGGGTCATCAGTAAGCTCAGCATCACACCACGGGCTCACTGCAGGTTCTTTCTGTGAGGAAGATCACTTACGTTCAACATTAAGGATGGCATGTAATCCTACAATAAGCCACGGATTATAAAGTACACTTAAGGGAAAAATGATTTGCTTTACCTTTCATGAATAGTAAGTATTAACTCTTATAACATGCAGTCAAACATTTAAACATCTTAAATTAATAAAAGTACACCAAAATTGGGATACATGGTTGGTTGAGGCACTGTGCTACAAGCCGGAAGGTCATGGGTTCGAGTCCCGATGAGGTCATTATATTTTTCAATTGACCTAATCCTTCCAGCCACACTACGGCCCTGTGGTCGAACAGAACTGAGTACCAGGAATCTTCCTGGGGGTAAAAGGTGGCCAGTGTGTAAGAATGACAACCTCACCACCATCTGTGAGCCAACTGTCTAGAAAATGTGGGAGCCTCAAGTCTCACAACCCTATGGGACTTCATGGCCTGATACAGGGATAGCTTTACCTTTACTTTTAAATTAAAAATTGAACATTAAACTGATTAGGAATTTCATGAAAACAGTTTTATCAGAACTTTTCCATCAATTATGACAATTGCAAAAATCTAAAGTGTACCAACTTATGTTATTAAAAAATGTAACATGCAGAACATGTTCTTCCCTAACACAGAAATCACTGATACTGACAAAATACAACTGCGCTGAAACATTATAACAACTGACAACAGTGTCACCATTTTGCATTGTGTGGAGAGTGACGGAAAAATGTTTGACATACAAAACAGAATACCTGTGCAATAGTTCTGTCGAATTATTTTTTATTTATTTATTTAGCAGCATATGTGCTAGCATCCTAAAACTTCACTGAGAGGATTATTTGTCACACTCAAAAGGTAGTTTTTAAGTTTATTATTTAACGATGTCAGTTTCAAGGCTATATAGTGATCAAAAATGTCAAGGATTCCATTCAAATTTAAATACATATTTCTCCTGAAACTGTACTGTTAGTTTCTTGGTCCTACCATGATCATAACTGTTGAGAAATTAATGTCATACATGGTTTAATGCTGGACCAAAACTGTAATTTTAGCTTGTGAGACAAGTTAGACAAGAGAGCAAATATGGTTAAAATATTTTTCCTATAATATCTCTGAGAAAATGAGGAATTCTGAGAGAATTTGAGATATAATACCTTCATTCACATAGAAATCTACTAAATATAAGTCGGACATAATCATACCCTGCTCAATCTTTTCTAGTAAAGAAACTGGTGTGGACTCTCCACTGCAGCGGCACCTGAACTCTTAATGTGATACTCCCTTAAAAAAAAGTAAAACTATCCCTGTAACAGGCCGTGAAGGCCCATAGGGTTGCGAGATGCTGAGGGTCCCAAATCGTCCAGACAAGCAGCTCAAAGATGGCGGCAAGGTTGTCAGCCTTAAGCGCCAGCCGCGCTTTACTCCCCAGGAAAATTATTTAATTAATTCCCGGTACTCATTTCTGTTAGAGGCTGAGTAAACCCCAGGGCCTAGTGCGGCTGGAAGGATTAGGTCAACAATGACCTCATCGGGACTCGAACCCGCAACCTTCCAGCTTGTACCATAGCCCTTCAACCACTACGCTACCGCGTGCCCCCTTAATGTGAATAAAAATGTTTGAGGTCTTACCACCTATAAAAAGTGACTTAAATTTAAAAAACATATTTACCTATGAATTGTAATTATATCTATGAAGCACTTTTGCTATTACACTGCATGTTTGTAATTCTCTGTGGCCTTTTCTTATCAGTTTATAAAGGTAAAGTTGTCCCTGTGCTTAATTAAGCACTACACCATGAAGATGTATGGGGAATGGAGGTAGAGATCCAACATTCTTAACCTCAGCGCTAGACAGAGGTGAGCGGTCAACCTCACACCCCAGCCAATTTACCCCTAAGGAAAAAGCCCCCAGTACCCACTGCACATGAGGCTGGGTGGACCCCAGAGTTGGTCTCGATGCTGCTGAGAAAAGAAAATTCTTGCCCTTGTTGGGAATTGAACCCCAGTCATCTAGCATGTAGCTTGTCACTATACTGACTGAGCTACCCAAATTCCTTCTTATCGATTTCTGTGTATGATAATTAGAACATTAACATTTTTGGAGGCTCCCATAAGAAAGCTTCGCAGCCCTCTGGGGGGCCACAGCTATCACTGTAGGAAATTCCGCTCTACTGTAGTGATCACATGGCTGGCAGAACTTACCATCCCTGTTTCAGTGGTAAACTTTTCCTTCTCCTCCTCTGACCCTCCCGTGTCCTTGGTCATCAGTCTTCCTTCCTTTTCTCTGTCCATACTGCTTGAAAAGAAATTTGCTTGCTCTGCACATGCTATCAACTTGTCGGCAGTATCTGTGTAGCTGACCGCCTTCCTGTGGCCCTCCAAACTGACTGCCATGTCGCTACTGGTTTCCCGATAGCTGCCCGCAATTCCAGAATCAAGCCCACCTAACTCACTGTCTTTCGTACGGTTACTGTCAATAGGCTGTACTGATGTCTTATCAACTATATTCTGTAAGTTCTCTTCTGTCAAATGAGGCTCCACATTGCCACCATCCAGAGAGTTTTGTTTAATCTGAAATTCAAGCAGGAAGAAAATCTCATTAATAAGTAATCAAAATTCTCATTCTCAAGTACAAGTACTAAATTTCTTACAATAAGAATACACTGTATTATGGCGTGGAGAAGACTGCTGGCTCAATTTCTTCCTGTATCCACACAAATTTTACCACCCTCAACTTACTCATCTTCCCAGGAGATGTAATCAGCAGGTCCCTCCAAAACTATGGTACATATTTACTGAAGTAGATGGCATCACATCACAGTAGTCTGTAATCATAATGGTCTGCTTCTTTTTTTGTATCCACTGTAATGTCTGTTACACTGGGGAAGATAATAAATTCATTCAGCCCAAATAATAGGCGAATGACCCTCCATCAATTCTGAACAATCTCTTTCTATCTGTATTCATTTCCACCAACTATTCATCAATGTCTGCTGATGTGTACAAATAATCCAAACCCTTCCTCCAGGCTGTAACCTTCAAAACTGGCAGATGAACTACAAGTGGACATTTTTTTTTTATTGCTAGTGGGGTGGGACTAAGTCCCTTGTACTGCAGCCACTTATGGCCTATTTTACCAGCCCCAGATGATAGGTGAGGGTGACTGTGGAGCAATTGGTGGAATGAAGATTGGCAGGGGAAACCGAAGTACTTGGAGAAAACCTTCCCCGGTGCCACTTTGTCCACCACAAATCCCACTTGACCAGACCGGGGATCGAACCAGGGCCACCACGGTGGGAAGTCAGCGACTAACTGCTTAAGCTATGATGCGACCTCGGACTCTAACACAGACTCAACATATAGTGAAAATAAATAAATAAATAACTATAAGTTTGTATTACATGCTCGTGAGACAGTTGGTATAACATATATCCTATAGAAGGCACAAGCACGATACACCACTACCAACTAAACTTATCATAAATATCCACTAGCTCTGTATTGCCAGCCACGCTGTTTCTTTGGAATATTTTCCACCAAAAAGTTCCATCTTCTGGGATATGATGCCGTGTAGTCTGCTGAAAGTCAAGCAACATTTCAGAAGAGCTTCATACTGGTTTTCTGCTTAGCTTATTCTTTGAGTCTGAAGCTGGAAGTGACACAGTTCTCCAAAACTTTGGCTGACTTTCAGTGGACTACACAGCATCACATCTCAGAAGACAGAACTCCTCATAACCACCGCTGTGAGAACCTCAAATTGTACATATTATCTCCCAACTTTTTTCAAATTAATGTCCAGTTTTAAAGCCTATAATCAATAAGCTGTTTACTGCCTTTTGTCTTCCTCCTGTCTCTATTAACTCATCACTGAAGGCATTCATAGTGTGGATAAATATCTGTGATTTTCAGTCCCAACTTACTGCATATATACCGATGAAATGTAACAAGTGTACAAAATTTATATTTATCACCATTCAGACTCTCAAGTGTGTAGTGCAATTCAATGGCATTTCTTTCACAACATTCTAGTATTACATTTCATACCAGAACTTGTGTGGATCCAGTACTTGCAGTGCAAACTGTCTGGCAATTAAAGTTACACTCAAAACGTACCTGCAAATTTGTTAAAGCCTTATTCAATTTCTGCGGATCTACAGGTTGAGCGAAGTCGATTTCTCTGATCTCTTTTGAACACTTCTTTGAAGATTTAGATTTAGCATCAAGATCACCACCTTACAAAAAAATAATACACACTTTTTAGTTATTTCTTGCATCCTGTTGTGTTAAATAAATTTGAAAACTACTGGGGATGTAAAAACAAAAACAGAGTAAATTACATTTTAATAAAATTTATCAAAATCAATAAAAATGCCAATGATGAAAACCATTTTACTGTCTCATTCTTCCACTCCATGTTTAGGATGCAAGGACCATCATCATGTACTTTGTAAATAAATAAATAAATAAAATAAATAATAAAATTCACTGACAATGTATAACTTATAAAAGTTAGATCTTGTAATTGACCATTATTCACTTACAAGCATCCCAACAAACTCTTTGAACTTCATTAGTCAAACACATTTTAGCTGCCAGTAAGTTAAAAGAATTCATTCCTGTAAGTGTCAATTGTAAGTTACAAGAAGTAACCTTGTAATACACATTACAGACATGAATTCAGTCATGATTAGAAAACTTAGTTTTTACAGTAAAAAAAAATCCAAGCACTAGGGATGTGTATGAGAGGAACATTACCTGGCTTCCCTCTAGAGACAGATCTTGGTGATGGTCCAGGCTTTGTATTAGGTGTACTGGTATTTCCACTGAGATTTAAAGGGTTGTTTGGAGGTGTTGGAGACAGAATAAAGTAGAAACTGGACCGCAAATGTGTAATGTAAGTGGCACTTGCCCGGTGCAACAGGACAAGGAAGTCCGTAACTGCTACGATGTGGGAGAACTCAGGTGGTGCACCCATTAACGAACGGATTAGTTCCACCAATGAACAGCAGACTGACATAGGAAGCTGCATTGTCTCTTCATACAGGAATCGTTCCTGACGGAATAAAGAAAACGCAGGTATATATTTAACTTCCCTGCCCTGTGACCAGCCAAGTGCCGATCAGAGATGAAGTCCCAAACTTAAAAGATAAAGGATGTGACAATGTGCAGACTGGCCAAAGATGCCAAACATATCAGGAGAGGCTGATAGAAGAGTATGCAGCAATGGTGAAATGATAACTAATAGAGGAAAACTGATGAAACTGTGAAAGAAATGAGTTCCAGTTCCACTCTGACCACCACAAATTCACATGCAGTAACCAAGGATGGAACCCAAGGCTCCACAGCAAGAAGCCAGTATCTACCTGAACTACAGTATGTCCCCACATAAAAATATAAACTTTATTAAATTCTACAGCTTTTGTTCAACATTTCTTTTTTATTTAAACAGAAAGTGTTATTTAGACTTTCATGCAAGGTGGCAGCCTTGATCAGCCAAAGTGTTCTAAAACTACCCCCACAAATTGTTAGTTTAACAGAAGTGCTGTGTCCTAGCTCAGGTAGTTGGGTGCTGGATTCCTACCTCAGCGCCCTGGGCTCAATCCCAGGTGAATTGAACACAGATTCATCACAGATGAATAACACTGGAACAAAATTTTCACCAAGTTTCTGCAGTTTTTCCCTACTAATCACAATTCCACCATTGCTCCAATCTCATCTACCACCACTCCAAAATATGTGATAGCCCTGACCAAGAAGCACATTATCATATCTTTAGTCTTTATGTTTAGGGTTTATTTCTAAAATAGCACTTGGTTGGTTACACAGCATGAAAGTTGGTTCTTTTACTTAGCATAACAATCAATAATAAAAATGCTAATAACAACCCATTCACCTAGAGTACCACTGATTGAGAAATATATTTCTTGATTTCCCATGAATGACACACAACCAGCTAATTTCAAACTACTGCACTAAACTTCACCCCAACACGAATTTCATACAGTATAAAATGTTTCATGATACAATGACCTAACCTTGCAGAAAAGAAGAAGAGCTTCCACCATCCGTACACGATTCAGCTGTGTGGCATTGAATTCACGATATGGATGATCATCCCGTAACAGAACGTGCAGCGTGCGGAACAGCGTGCCCAGAACACCTCCACCTTCCTCATCAAAAGCGCAATCTTTCTCTTTAATGACACCACGTTCCCAATCACGCCATGAACCAACTATAGTTGTCAGCAGGAATGAATTGACAATAACTGCATCAGAACGAGCTATGACGTGGAACCGACGAGGTCCTGGCTGGTATTGGAGAACAGGCTTGTCACAGCAAGTATCCAGTACAGCCTGCAAACAAACATGATATTATTCTGCCTCTGAGAAGAACCAAATATAAAAAATATGACACAAAATCCATTAATAATCGTATACAGAGATTACAAACTCTCTCTCTTGGAACCTCACAGATGATGAGAAGACACAGAGATTTGTCAAAGATAGCGCTGGTAGCAGGATCTCACTGTTAATTTCACTGTTTAGTGGAACAAGCTGGTAAAGATTTTCCTCCTAAATGAGCATGACTTTATGTAGGTACCTCTGAAAGTAATTAAGCTTCCATGCAGGAATTTATATCCTCACACAGCATCAGCATTCCACAGTGTCTTCATCTCCTATCATGTTGATCGTACACAGCTCATGATGTTTCACAACAATGAATGACAGAATGATTCATGAGTAATGACCTGAAAAAAATGTGGAAGGAAGTGCCTGTGGCCTAACTCAAGGTACCATCCTGGCATCTGCCTGGAGAGACTGAGGAAAGGCACGAAATCTTCAGTCAGGGTAGCCAGTCTCTGAAGTAGGTCTGCCAGTGACGTTCGGTGCCAATTTGTGAAATGATGGTGATGTCAGGTGGTGACGTGGACAACGGAGGAAGAAAGAATGTGGTACGAAGATTTTCATGACCAGCATTTTAATGACATTATTCCAGTACTTGCTTGAAGGGATAGAGAGACTGAAATGACATTCCTACCTTGAGCATGTGATGTCCAGCAATACATCTTGGTGACTGCAGGACCTTGAGCAGCAATCTGTGGCAGTCCTGGCTCACAAACTGCGAGAACAACTCACTGTCACTCTGAACAAGCTTCAGCAGAAGGTACAATGTGTTAGCCTGTTGCTCCTGGGAAGCCTTCAGCTCTACCACCTTTAAACAATACGTCTGATGTAAACAAATAAAGCAGTGACAATGTCTTTGGCCTTTAATGCTCTCCACTTCCAATTCTTATTCACTGCACTTGAAATAACCCTGTATAATAAAAGTATGCCAATTGTTCAGTATAGGAAGGAAGGAGTTATACCCAGTACACAACAGACTTCATTGTTTTGGCAATATTTCTGATATATCTTCTATCATCATAATGTCTGCACTCTTACTGCAGTGAGCATTCATTGTAACTTTACTATACTGAACAGCTGGACTGATTTTATTGATATTCATCATTCAAGAGTACACTCATGTAGGGATTTCATTAATTTGATATCAAACTAAATAATATATTGTAAACTTAATACAGTTATTCTTGTCCTTATATTTCTGCAGCTGGAGTATGACGTACGATTTTATCTTTTTGGGAATGAGCTGCATAAATTCTTGAAGTTTCCCAGTGTTTCAGCAAATAGTTCAGCTACCATCTTCAGGGTCAATGTCTTTGGGCATTCATATATAGATGTGTCAGATGGAAGTGAATAGGAGGTGAAGCCATGAATGGGTGAAACCAAGGAGTCGGGTGCAATGCAACAGGGGGCGAACACATGGTTGAGGAAAGCAGGTGACTGAAGGATCTTTTGAGACCAGGTTGTCTTGAGGACAAGTGACAAAATGTTTCTGAGGCTCCATGGTAATGAGAAAGTGATGAAAAATACTTTTGTGATGACTCAGTAATGAGAAAAAAAATGATGAAGTATGTTTTTGCAACCACAGAACATTGAGAAGTGATTAGAAAGAATGTTCCTTTACTGGCCACATTAGGAACAATAGTCTCAATTTACTTTTTTTAATCATCCTACTATTCAACACAATATTGTCTGACCTACTGACAGGAACATTATGTAACACATAAATAAATAAATACACACAGTCTACAAAGCAACCCTTTGCGCCATTTCATAATAAGCATACTTTTTACAGCATAAAATTGTTAGCCCCACACCAAACCACCCAAGCTCAAGGACCACCCCTTATCGGCTGTATGCAACTGCTTATTGCATAATAAATGGGGGAAAAGAGGAATGCATATAGGATTTTGGTGAGAAAGCTAGAAAGAAAGAGAACACTAGGAAGATGTGGGTGGGTGGATAATATTAAAATTGATCTTGGAGAGATAGGATGGGGTGGTATGCACTGCATTTATCTGGCTAAAGATAGAGACCAGTGAAGGGCTCTTGTGAACATGTTAAAGAACCTTCGAGTTCCATAAAATGTTGGGCAATTCTTTACTAACTGCACATCTGGCAGCTTCTCAAGAAGGGCTCATCTCCATGGACCTGGCCGGTTAGTCAGTCTACAAAGCAGTTCCTTGCTTTCAAATGATACTATTTCATAAAAGCAAAACAAAACAGATCAATGTGTATGCTCACCCTAGCAAAAAGAAAAAGGAACACAGTGGTGCCACCCAAGATGGATGCAGCAGCAACTAGGCCTTTGTAGCGGCGAGAATTGAGTGGTGCCAACAACGTAGGACTTAAAGACAGTGGCAACTGCTGACTGGCTCGCTGATCTAATGTCACCACACGGAATCCTGGTTGTCCAGGGAAAAGAGAACCAATCACTCCTAGAAAATGATGAGCACTTGAATTTCTATACATACAGAAACAGATAACTCCATCACATAGATCCTTCCTTCAGAAGATGATAGTTATTCTGTCACTTGAGAAACCTTTTGTTCTTAGTGAATCAGTATCACAAACAGAATTCTCTGGACCAATACAAACCAGTTCCCATTCCTATAACCTGTTTCCTAAGGACAAATTTTAATTTTATCAGCCAGTGTGTACTCTATATATCAACTGGTTCCTTCTCATGACATTTTTATCCAAATTGTATATTCATTTACTGTCTGTTCCACACATACCAAATTCATGTAGTATGATTACATACATTATTTTAAAAATTGTAAAGGTAATACAAATAAAGGTAAAGCTATCCCTGTAACAGGCTGTGGAGGACCATATGGCTGAGAGACATCAAGGCTCAAACATTTTCTAAACAACTGGCTCACAGATGACGGTGAAGTTGTCAGCCTTACGCTCCGGCTGCACTTTACCACCAGGAAGATTCCTGGTACTCATTTCTGTTAGAGGCTAAGTTGACCCTAGAGCCACACAAATATTTAAGAAATACAATCTCTGCTTTTAACCTTATTATTTTACTGTTTATGAACAAGTACAATTAAAAAAATATTGGGAGAACTGCTTATGAGGAGTAAGTATGAGATAAATTCTTTTATGAATGTTCAATTTTTATATTACCATGGTCATGGCACAGCTCAGGTGGTATGTCACTAGCTTCTCACCTTGGTAGCCCAGGTTCAATCCCAGGTCAGGTCATGGGGTGTAAAAAGTGGCACTCTGGAAATTTTCTTTCCAAGTGCTTTGGTTTCCCTCACCAGTTCTCAACTGACCAACTGCTAAACATTCATTACTCGCCCTGCCATCAACATTACATTGTCTTGATACTGACACCATCATTAAATAACCGATTAAAAAAATTATATTACCAATAACCTAAAAAAGCCCTGGGAAGAATTTTAATATGTATAAGACATTAAAATAACAGCTTATCATATATTACATACATAACATGTACAGTGCCAAAAGAAGCTTTTTATGTGGCTGAAAGCCTTGACATGAGCTTAGTGAACCATTGGCATTCATTTTTCTTTTTATATTACAAATACAAGGAAGATGAAAGCAAATATCAGTGTAAACTTTAAAACTACTGTCTCCTGGGATGTGAAGCCATGTATTCCAGTAGATGATTATCAGTGTTTTGGAGGAACCTGGTCCCTCCTTCTTCAGGGTAGAAGATGGAGGCAGGAGACAGTAGTTTTTACAGTCATCCTATGGGCACCTCAAATCTCACATCATTAATTTAGGTCTGTTTTAGCAAAGAGAACATAACTTCAAAATAAATTATCTTTTGTAGTTCTTACTTCCTTATTGCAGTATCCATTGTTCTGCTCTATATAAATAACAAAGAATTGTTTATACACTTATACAAGAATATCTGTAACAGATTCTAGCTGTTGGCATATACAAACTCACCTCCAGGATTAGATACCACTAGTGGATAGACACTGACTGAATTAGGATTTTGGGCACAGTATATCAGGAGCAAATTATCCTGAAACATGAAAACTGTATGTATCACAAACAGGAAAGTTGTTTATTAACATGTAATATATGAAGTTGACCGTGTTGTGTTTAGATTTCATAAAAATGTAAAGGACAGGAAAATCCTAGCAATTATTCACATTGGTTTTTGCCCACATATCTATTCATCCATTACATGTATAAGAAAGGGATTATTTCTGAAAATCTGAACCATACATGCAATCAGGAATAACAAATTAAAACAAATGTTAACAGGATAAGATACACAGAAAAATGTTAATACAAAAATGTCTATGGAATGATTACAAGATGTAAAGCAAACAGACTGAAAGAGACAAATGAACTTATGTATAGAAGTTCAAATAGCATTTAGTATAAAGTTAATAGAGAGGTCAAGAATTACAATAAAATTAGAACAGATGTGCTCTATAGCGTAGCAAACAGAATTACTAAACATGTTCTCTGAAATTCATTAAGTTTATTTAAATATGGAAATAACGAAATGCAAATTAGTGGAAGTCTTCCATGTTCAAGAGTATACCTGCAGCTCTTTCAGATTTCCCTTCTTCCCATCAAGAACGGCATCCCAGTCAATGCCACGGAACAGCGTCTTAGGCCCAAACACAGAGGTGAAGTTGGGGCTAAGCTTATCTATATCAGCGCAATCAGTCAAGTTAGTGTAGTTGGGGCCCAGCCCCACGAGGTATACAGCCCGTTCCTTGGTAAATACTGGGCTCCTGAACACCATAACACTACCCAGATACCAGGCACCGGAAGAACATTCTGTATCCACAGCACTTATGGAATGACCCAGCAGCAGGTACGTGGCTCGAGTTTTCCGCACCAACAGGCCAGTGAACGGAAGCAGCACTTTTGCTTCGTGCCAACCGTCCACAAGCAGGGTAACCTATAGCACCAAAAACACTGAAGAAGTGTACAATGAACACTTAAGACAGACATGTTTGGCAGAAGGAACTGCAAATGACATCCTCATGGCATTTATTGTGATTAGCATAAGACTTTTAAGTATCTAGTTAAATAAGCTCAATAAAATATTGTGACATGTTAAACTATTGCTGGGCAACGGGATATGGAACGAGGTTATGCAACAGTAAGGAAAGCGGTGTTTGTCCGTGCTGTGTCCATGTCTTATAAGATGTGCAACTTGACAGGAGTTTCTTAAAGTTGTACTGACATTAAGTAACATGTACTTTCCAAATATATTGGGGATCAGATGGATTATTTTATAATTATATTTATGAACTTAACTACAGATCATTTAGTCTTGTTACACGAAAAGAAATAGATAATTTCAGACTTTCATGGCAGTTCACTGTTAACATTCATCCAATTTTTGGTGGCAGTACTCTAAGTTCACTATTCTGCCAGCATTTCTGAGATCCTTGAGGTCTCCATGTTTAAATGGAGATTCTTGAGGTTACAGAATCATAAATTGGATCAACAGTGCAAGAAATATTTAGAAGTATGCAACATCTAGAATGTAATAAAATAAAATAAAGAAATCTAACCTCAATTACAGTCTTTCTATTATGAACGTAGTCACGAACATTGGCAGATAAGTGGTGCCATTGTCCTATGCCCAGGAGTCCCTCAACTGCTGCTTCAGATAAAATCTCATATGCTCGAGCATCTGATCTGGTGAGTCTCAATGTTACTGTACCTGAAAATCAGTCTTAAATTAATTGGTTTATAAATTTATGCAAAACTTAATTTTGTAAGTAGATTCTAAAGGGTTCTGATGATGGTGGTGACATACAGAATTACTGGGTTTTTGGACATTTTCCATCGTCCAGAAATCTAGGTAACAGAGGACATGACGTTTCAGAAACTGGATCTGTTTCCGTCTTCAGGTGAGAAAGGAAGGCACCTACTCAGTTGGGCCCCCTAGAGAGAGCTAATCTCAATCACTGGGTTGAGTAGGTGTCTTCCTTTCTCACCTGAAGACGGAAACAGATACATTTTCTGAAACGTCGTGTCTTCTATTACCTAGATTTCAGGATGATGGAAAACGTATAAAAACTCAGTAATTCTTAATTTTGTAGTTTCATCTTCTCTCAACCAAAAGCATAGCAGTATGTTTGGAAAAAACATGTTGACATAATAAATACAATTCAGATTTAAATTAAAAAGGATGAGGATATATTGAAGCAAAAACTTACACACTTGTAGTTTCCTGCTGACCAGAAGCGGTTATAAAATCTCGACCATTCCTTTCAATTTACAGCATGTTTCAAACAGTTATCATTCTTTACTCTAAAATGCATTTTAAAACACAACTTTTCTAATTTTCAGTGCTGTATCATAGGACTGTCAGTTTTCCACATGCATACATTAACAACTGACAAAATGCAGAAATTATAAATAGTATATTTTCCTAACCTTAATCTATATAAACTGTACAGGGATTTCTAGAGGGAAACACAACAATACTGTCCTCTGAAAATCCAAATTACCATACACATACTGAAAAAAAAACAGTCTGAGTAGGATTGTATTAAGTATGTTTATCCTATTCTGGAAAAACTACTCAACAGGTCACAAATATTCTTTAAGCAAACTAGTGTAACATCCATCGAGAAATCAAATGGAATTCTCATCATTTGTCACACAAGTTTTCATATTATTAACTTCCCATTCCTTCTCCTGTATTTGTTTCCAGTGACTATGAAGTACTGTTATCTGGGATGCAACAGATCTAGTCTGATAGATCGTTACCTTTAGAGAAAAGTGCTGCCTCCAAATTCATGGTAATCTACCAGTCTATTTGTGTCATATCACAAAAGACAGTAATCTTCATAACATTACATTACATTGCATTGCATTCCATAGATCCAAAGTTAGTCAAAATGACTGTAGGGTGTGGAATATGTCATGTTAAACTTATTCAACAAACCTGGACCTTACAAGCAAAAGCTTTGTGACAGTTCACTCACATACCGACACTAGTATCCACCCAGGATTCCAAAACAAGACTCTCATAACCAAGAGAAAAGAGATGAAGTGATAATTCATTAGTGACTGGTTTCACTCCGGCTGCAGAAGCACCAGCTCCTCCATGGTAAACTGAAACAGACAGTTATGTCATGACATACTTCCCTTCACTCCAGTGAGAAGGACTTCATGCAAGTTTTTAATGTTATTGTATGATATGTTACAGAATTCAGGCACCCGCCTAACCAGTTTCTTTCAGTGCTACAGTAGTGGTTCAAAAGTGAAAAGGAGTAGATGTGGCAAGTCAAACTAGGCAATACCATTGGACTACAAAAGAAGAACTACTTCATTAAAAACCCCAAAAGATTTATAGGATTTCACGTTTTCGCAGCGTGGTTATAAAGAGTTTTATCTTCTGGGATATCATGCTGTGTAGCCCTCTGAAAGCCAACCAATGTTTTGAAGGAACAAGTTGCATCCATCTTCAGGGTCAAAGAGTAAGCCAAGCAAGAATAATAATAATAATAATAATAATAATAATAATAATAATAANAATTTACGACTACCTTCCAGCATGAAAGAGGTAGCAAGCAGAGCTCTCACAAACTTATTCTTTGACCTTGAAGGAGGTGGCACATTCCTCCAAAAAATCAGTATCTCAGAAGGCAGAACTCTTCAACAAAGATTCTTGTGTAAAATATCTAATACGCTCACTGCCAAAAATTCCCAAGACCTGTAGATGATAATTTTGGGCCAGGATGAATGAAACATGTTGCTGGCCTTTTGTAAGTTTTAAAAATTTTTATCATTATTATTCAAAGATAAGTAAATAATATTAACTGAATAAAATAAATACAGGAAGGTAACAAATAACTTCAACCTCTTAACATTTTACCTACTGTACGGACCTGACATCCTTACAGCAAAGACCCTCTTCTTGGATGCAATGCAATGTAGTTCAGTACAAGCTGAACCAACATTTTGGACTGCCTCCATCTTCAGAGTTGACGAGTAACCGGCACAATCAACCAGCAAAGAAGGCCTAAATGAAAACCAAGTTTTCCATTTATGGCTTCCTCTGCTTGCTGCTATCTTTATTCTGGCTGTTTGCCAGACTTACTCTTTGATTCTGAAGATGGTGGCAGTATATTCCTTTGACATGATGGAGAACTTCTAGCGAACAATATGGCATCACATCCCAGAACACAACACTCTTCTAATCCCCTACTATGGCCTAGTAACTTCAAAGATTTTGCATCAGAAGTCATGCCACTGTATTATCGTTACACAACGTGCGTGAATTCACCACTAAAATACAACATTCAGATGATGTATAAAAGTATATTCTTTAGCTCCAATATCAGTTTCAAACTACAGCTCTGTGTTATTTAAGAATATAACACTACTCACAAAAAGATGTATAAAATATATGCAATAATAGTAACACACAGTTACTCTACTCATACCGTTCTATTACTATACTATTCTTTGAGAGTGTATCATCTTTTTTTTTTTAATTCGCTTACTGGGGGGGGGTGGAGTCCAACTGGGCCCACTCTGCACGGCGGCCAATAATTGGCCAACCGTAGCCTGCCCCAGGTGATTATGATGATGGAGAATTTGGTGGAATGAAGATTGGCAGGGGAAACCGAAGTACTTGGAGAAAACCCACCCCAGGGCCACTGTGTCCACCAAAAATCCCACTTGACCAGACCCAGGATCAAACCTGGGCTGCCACGGTGGGAAGCCATCAACTAACCGCTTGAGCTATGGCATGGCCTGTGTATCATCTTTACAAAGAGCTGGAGATTGTTAGGCCATCATTAGAATTTACCAGATTCTATTTTCAACATATGATGCTAACCAAAATCTCTATATTGGAAATATTTTTTAAGACAGAACTTTTCTTGTGTAAGGTTGCCTACTCAATATATGACATAACCTCAAAGATGTTTAGACAAAGCACATAATATGATCCATTACAGCAAGGGACTCTATATAAAACCAATCCACTGTGTATCCACAAAATTTGGTTCCTACCCTTGAACTGCTTGAAAGACCTCACTGCAACATGTCCCTTGTAATGGACACAGTAAATACATATTACTGTAGCATGAGTACAGTATCAATCGCCTCTGTGGTCTAATGGTCAGAGTTCCCTGCTACAGATCCAGAGGTTTGGGTTCAATTCCTGGTGCTACCAGATTTTCTGAGAAGTGGTGGGTCTGGAATGGGGTCCACTCAGCCTTGTGAGGATAATTGAGGAGCCATTTCAAGGAAATAGTGGCTCCAGTCTAGAAAACCGAAATTAATGGCCATTGGGATCTGTTCCGCTGACCACGCAACACCCTCTATCAGCTAAAGTTTGCACTAACTTCGCTGACAAGTAGTAGTCGCTCAGTTGTTACTCTTCCATAGATTATAATTAGGCATTCCCACATTGACATATTTCTCATACTTACCTTGTTCTTTGGTAGTCCAAGCATCAGAAGTGATACCCCATTCTGAAACCGAACTACTGTCTGAGACAGTAGAAAATGAAGCTCCTCGGGCTAGGCCAGGAGCTGTGTTACTGCCTCCATGCTCCAGACGTAGCCACAGTGAGAGGGAGAAGCCCTGAAGCCACATTGACCAACCCAGATCTTGATTCAACAGAAGTGACAAAGCACACTGGGCCCAGGAAGATTTTATACCTATAAGTATCAACATCCCACATAAAAATATTTGATCCTTGGTTCAGATCTCTGTGTGTTTGTCAAAGCCTTCACCATTGTCAGACTTCAGAGATATGGATAATAACAGTCTGTCTCCAGTCTGCAGTCCATGCTAATCTGTAAGTGCCCTGTGATAGCTACCATCCTATCTTTGGGAGTAGCAGACTTTGCCTCATAAATGCTTCCACTTCAGAAATGGATAATTTCATTTCATCTGACTGGCACAAACCAGGAAGGACAATATGACAACTGAATATGTTCACCACAAACTGAAGGTAACATATTACAGAAATATCTTAACTGGGTATCTCAAAATATATCAAATACGTTAACAGTTTAAGTTTCAAGGTTTTCACTGATGAATGTTCAGAATGTGGCCTTCTAAACTGTGACACTATGTAATTCTGTAGGCTAATACTGACATTTCAGAGGTACACGCTGCCTATATCTTCAGGACAGAAGTGTTTAGGTTGAGGAACCGGCTTGGTTGTATAGCAGGGTTGCAAGGAAGGTAGTCACTCAGATCCACATGAGGGGGCACAAAAATGAAGCACAATTGAGGCCAATAGAAACAGTGGGTAGAAAATTACCCTTTTAAGGGCCTCAGGGTATGAAGCGTGCAGAATGAGAAGTCAGCCATTAAAACGGCAATTTCCTCCTAATTTTCGAAGTTCAAATATCTCTCCTGTGAAGAAAACATGTGTGGGCTTTGAAAAGGTCACCTCTTCTCCACAG